AAACATTAAAGAGAACAAATAGCGCTGTGAAAACCAAGGAGAACAACAGGCAGGTAAAAGATGAAACTATTAGGGGCAAAATCAGGTTACTGTAGGTTTAAACTAAGCTTTGAAAACTCCACAAAGCATTTCTAAATCTCTCATTTGAAAATAAAAAGGGAACGGCACAAGCTGAACCTGACCAAACCATGGCTGACTAAACTCACAGGCAGGCTTAAATCAGAAAAGTGGTTGAGATGGTAACACTAGGGAGCCACAGAGACAAACAAGTCAGGAGGGAAACAGAAAAATCATTTTGCTGCATGATAATGTGGAGATAACCCTTTTGTTGCTCAGAGTTGATTAAATGGTGGCTGGACCATAATGCAGAGCGATTCTGACAGAAAACAGTAATTGGCAGCAAAACAAAAGGACAACAAATCATAAACACACAACCAGAGCTAAGTTAATGTGTTTTGAACCATTTGAAGTCGTGACCTTAATTCAGTCGAAAGTTGCGGGAACCGTTGAACATTTGTGATCACAGATGTTCTCCATCCAAATGATCTGAGCTTGAGGTTTTGCAAAGAAATGAGCAAACATTTTAATTCCTAGTTGTGTAAAATCAGTACACTTTAATGTAAAAATTTGAATGTTTTTTTATTCTTTTCTAAAATATAGAGACCTCAGACTTTTTTTTTTTTCTTTAATTAATTAAGTAATTTCTTTAGGACTGAGCAACAAAGCAGAAGATAAAAGGAAAAAAAAATGCTGCACCACAAATATCTTTCATATTTGCCCAGCTGCAAAAATGAATATGTGTGCAAGAGCAAACTGCGGAAGAAAGGGATCTGAAGCTATAAATCAATGGGGCAGATCCTTTTCATTAGAGTGGCGGTAAACGCTGCTGTGGGATCGACCTGACTCTATTTTGAGCTCTGGTATAGACACTCCACACATTGTTTTTGAGCAACACACCGGTTAAGCAGACATTTTTTATTCAACAGGGTTCTCAGTATTACACATCACAACAGATACAAAAAGCATAAGTCCATAAAAGAGGACTGTTAAATAATAGTGTTAATAATATTAAGTAATTTCAAATATTTTACAGTCAAAATGGGGGCAAAGCTATAACACATTCGACAGATGATTATTCTTTTAAAAAGGTTTGAGTACTATCGTTAAAAAACACACTCTTACAGACATGCAGCACAAAGTGACGGGCAATTTGATCTACCAGCTCCTCATCCGAGAAGCACCTATAAAAAAAAAATCACAACTTGTTTCATTTGGCAGAGCCTCATCCTAGAACAACTTTACAAAACCGGTCTAGGCAAATGAAGTGGTGAACAGGTGGTCAGCAATGTTACCAGTGGTTAAGCCTGTGTATTAAAAAAATATAAAACCAAATTAAAGGTAAAATGAACCACATGTAGTTAAAGAAGTATCTTCTGACAAAAAATAAAAGTCTAAATACATTTTTACAAGCTATTAATACACAAAGGACTGTTTAAGGGGCATGTAAAAGGAGCACCAACAGGTTGTGCAAATCTTCCTTTCATATTGGCATTAATATCAACAGTCATGTTTACTGGCTCTTCTTTGAAATAAATATTTTCTTGCAGTAGTTCAATGTCACAATGGGAAGTTTGGAAAATGCCAACATTTATTTTGAGCACCTTTACTTAAAGGGGGAAAATAGAAGCTCTTACATCATGATAATCAGCACCCAACAAATTCCTTTAAAGGAAATGTTACAAAATCTTTATTTCTATTTCCTACTGTTCCTTTTTAAATTTGATTAGAGTGTCTGGGAACATTCTATGCAAAAATCAAGAGCACAGCCACTTCCCTATAACTGCTTACAATGTATCTGACATCAGAATATCAATAAAAACATATACAATCAGAACTGCAAAAAAAAAAAGTACATTGGATAAGTGCATCTTTTACATTGAGGAAGTTATAAAAACAAGTTAAAGTCTTGAGGTGATCAATTCTCCACAGCAATCTTTTGCTGCTTTCAACTCATCATTAAAATGGTTTAGGGGCTGTTCTCCTGGCTTTTTTAAGTTTGTATTCCACCATTAAAAGCATAAATATGCAGAGACTTTAAAAGGTTAAGGTTTTAACAAGAACATAACTCAGATGACAGTACGTGCCTGATCAACTATAACCTGAAATAAGGAGTGCTAAGCCGCTTGCTTAAATAAAACGCTGCATATGTTGCCATGTTATGTGATCTAATTAGACAGTGCACAATTGATAACAGGACCAAAATTTGTGTGGATTGCCCTATCTAAATGAGGATTTTACCTGTGCTACTGGGTGTCACCAGTTTTGGAGAAAAGGAGAAAATGTATTTTACTCTTCCCAAAGGCAACCACAATTTGCAACAGCACTGCAAACAGATGGCAAGAGAAGATAGAAGTAGATGGAAAGAGAAAATACCTTCTCTATTCATGTGAATCATTAGGATCCATCACCTATAAGCTGTGTTGGTGGAACAAACACAGCAGAGAAGATTCTGGCATCTCAATATTTCCAACAGTCTTGTCAAATAAAGGTCATTGCTTCAATTAAAAACAGCAATGTCTCAGAAACGGTCGTACATCAACCTCCGACATACCATGGATGTCTGAAACCGCTACTTTTTGTACTTGTTTTAATGATAAAATTTATGCACTTACAAGTACAGGGCAATGCAACACACCAACGGTCCCTACATCTTATGTAAATGCGGTGCCATTTTATAGCAAACCACAAAAATACATTGGCAGTCTCTTTTACTGCATTGATTTATCCAGATGAAGGAAAATGCAGTTCTGTAACAAGTCTTTCTTTAGGAGATATCTCATAGGTTGTATTTTTGGCTGCCTCAATGTCATGTTATTGATGCTGTAGCAAAAAAACGGCACTGTTGGATATATGATATGCCTCTACTATTTTATTTTCTGACAGTCCAAATATTTTAACACATGCTTGGAAGACCCCTCTGTTTTTTTTCAATGCAACTGGTCAGCTGTTGTGCCTATTTGCACCTGCCTTTGTAAAATGCGTAATATAGACACAGAAATTCCACCCACAATCTGTTACAAGCTTTAAAAATTGCATTACAGGTGGTAAGTGAAAACATTTGCATTTCCTCCATCCAGTATTTAGGATGTTCTATTGATCAGCATTTGTGCTTGAAGGCAAGCTAAATGGGTAATGCCTGCAGTTTCACTGTTTAAATAGAGGAAATCTCCCCCTTTAAGTTCGAAGATCAGGTTTGCATATGCTTTCATACAAGCTAATTTTCAGTAGATCAGACCCAAGTTTAACTTTATAGCCACAAAAAAAAATGTGGAAATAGTGTGAAACAGAGGATGAAAATGTAAAAGAAAACAAGCATTGTGGAGGATCTGTCCTGCTTTTGGACTGTATCTGTCCCACAGGCTGTGGGAAACTTGAAAAAGGAGTTAAAAAGACGCAAAAAAACAACAAAAAAAAAGATCGTTACACGATCTAAATAGATAAGTGTAAATAGGAATAGTGAAAGATCGCAAGATCACTGTATTCACAAACCTAGTGAAATGTTTTGGTTTCTACCCTGTTGTACAAAAGGATTTACTGAGTCTTAACAGCATTGGTGTTTTAGCATCAATGATTTTATGTAAAATAGCTTTTTTTATTTGTTCTGAAGAAATACATTTTAATGCAAGTTTTTTTTTTTTATTAAAGATTTTGCTACTGCATTTGTGTTGCAAGCAAGCTTGTACCAAGGAAGGGAATAATGTGGAGGGCACTGCATTATTTTAGGCTGTATAGCCCCATTTACACTACCCTCTGAAAACCGGACAAAGCTTTAATCAGTTAACCGTGCCGAGCTTGGTTCCTTTACACACCATGCTAGCACGGTTCCTCGCCTCCTAGTGGTGATCTACGGTACTACCGCTCTCTCGAGGTAAACACGCAAATCCACATAACGGCGCCGTAACATTCAGGAAGTTACGTTTTGTTATCATTGTGATATTTCGTTGTTTGCAGAGAGTCAGGCAAAGAAGGCAGCCTTTGGTGAATTTACTTGACAGAGAAGTGAATACAACAAATAATAGTCTAATCAGGGCTTACAGATGCAGGAAACAACAACAGATGTTGAGGCTAATTACACTGCTAAGCAGAATCATCACTGGAAATCGTGTGACACAGTAGGAAAGCTACTATTCTTATGAATGTCTGAAGTTTCATGATTACGGAGGCTGACTGTAAGGAGATGACACGGTCTTCTCATGCGCTCTTTGTTATCTGAGAACCGCACCACAACTGAACTGAGACCTACTGATGAACTAGTATCATGTTAGAGCGGTTCGGTTGTGTCTGGCACAGTCCGACTCAGTTCTGCGTACCATTTACACTCAACAGTTGCTCGGACCGATCTCGGCACAGATTCAAAAGGGTAGTGTAAATGGGGCTTATGTTTATGATGGATCTGACTGAATAAATTATGCAATATTTCAGTATTTTGATTTTCAATAAAATAATAGTCCATTGACAACAATGACATTAGATTATTTAGTTTTTCCAGGTAAGTGTCACCCTCATTAAGTTTATACTTTGAAACTGAGCAAATTATAGAACCTAGTTGCAAAAACCTAAGGGTTATCTGGAACAATATAAAGCTTTTCTGGTTCTGCTGGAGGTTTATCCCTGCTAAAAGGGAGTTTTTCCTCTCCACTGTCACTACAAGTATGCTTAATGTGAGCTATTGCATTCGAGTCAATGAGTCGATGCAATCAAATTGGTTTTCCTTGGACAGAAAACTTTTAATCAATTTGACTGGATGATCTGGTGAACTGTAGAGTGCCTTGAGATGACACGTGTTGTGAATTGGTGTTGTATAAATAAACTAAATTGAATTAAACAAAAATTATTTTTTGATCATTCTAAAAATACTTTTTGTCAAAATTGCTCCATTCATAGCAATAAACAGAGAAACATTTTGTAAATTAATTTTCTGTAACAAATTGCAAATAAATAAATTAATAACCAAACCAAACATTAGCTTTAACTTTGAATGCAGATGTCTTTAGAATAGCCTAACAACATGATGATTTTGCAACAGGTTTGAGAAGTTTAAAAAGTATTTTGATTATGTTCAGTAAATATTGGTTCAAATTAATTAACACTGTTTTACCGATAAATAATTAAATTGTCAAGTAATATTAGTGAAAGCAAGATGTAACAAAGTTGAGACAGAGGTTTTCCTTACTGTCTTCACTCAGTGACTAGAGCAGGAATGGAGTTTTCAAAAAATGATTCAAACTCATCTAAGTTTGAGGCCTCACTGTGGTTCAATATTAAGTCTGATTTTAAAGGCATATTTACATTGGTATAACTTCCTTAAAAAACAAAATAGAAATATGAAAGTTACCCTGAATGAGCACCAAGCCTGGATATTTCTTACATTTTAAAAACTTTTGCTCGTTTGTTTGGACTGTTGTATCTGGTAAGACTTTGCTGGCTGTAATTTGAATAAGTTGGATGCTGTTGCAGAGAAATGGTGGAAATCACAATGGCAATGGAACTTTCACAGTATAGCTCAGAGATTTTCCTCAGAAAAAAAGAGTTTAGTTTGCAGCCAAAGTAGGATACACCTTTTTACTGGGCTTAAACAGAGTGATAAAAAAATAAGAATGTCTAAATTGTGGTTTAAAATTTGTATCAATGTTTTAAGTTTAATTATTACACAAGAGGGACTAATCCAGCAATGTAAAATAGTGTTCAACAGTGTAGCTGAAACCTCTCAGGATCTTTCCTACCTGTTCATGCAAATCATTTGAACAAAATATGCATTTCTTTAAAAGAAAAAAGCAATAGTACAACGATAAAAGGGCAAACAAGGATGACAATGTCTCATTACCCTTAAAAATGTAAATGAAAACTGGTGAGAGATAGTCTAGATTGAATAAAGCTGTGAATGAACAGATTCCTGAAAAGCTCCCCTGAATAAATCCTTGTTGTTAGAGGATTTATTGTGAAGAATATAAAATACATTTTACAAAGACGATGCTTAGACGTTCTTCTGAGAAATTGATCAGTGTTGATCTGTGAAGCTAAGGTGATGAAACCCTCCACCTATCCCACATGCGGGACAGGAGGGCTTGCTTCCCTGGGTGGCTAGTCTGGATTTAAAAACAAAGGCTCATCTCCATTCCGAGCGGCAGCTTCGCTCTTCAACCCATGGCAGGTTTTACGCTTTGTGCTGCATGGTCCGGCTGCACTGTTGATTTTAGAAGCTATTCTCTTTCCATTCCAGTGCTTCTAATGTTTACAGCAAATAATCCATTCGAGACATCCATGAAGGGGTTGCCCAGCAGAGCATGGTCAAACTGATTCGCTTCTCCTCTCTAAGTCGACCATCTCTGGTGGATAACGATGAACCGGCTTGGCATCAAAAACACAATGCCCACATTTGGTTTTTCTAAATTAGACAGCTAGAGATGTTAACGCCTTTGTAAGCTGTGGTTAATGCTCTTAAACCCGTGACTGAATTTGCTGAGTTGAACATATTTACTGCTGTATGGCGTGATGAATCAGTAGAGTTTCAGTTAGGTAAAACAGATGACAGCAAACCTCAAATGGCTGCTCTGGTTTAAGATGAGCAAGCACTGCCTGCAGTTGTTTTCTCAGTCTCCTCTCTGGGGGAACTTGATTTAGCAAATCCCACACCATTCATTGTGATAACTCTTTTCAGGCTGCCGTCTCTTCAGCTTCTCCTTTGAACACATCCTCAAAGAAACTCTAAAAAACCAGAGGCAAAAAGTTGTTTTCTTTTTTCCTGTCCTCAGTCTTGCTTTCCTTCATTCTCTCTTCTTGTCTCAGTCTCAGCTGGTACCGTGGAAGGATATACAAGGAAAAAAAAAAAAAAAACAGACTGAAAGACCTCCCAAATGTCTTTAGCGCCCTCAGTGGCTTTAAACCTTTTTGTCATTTTTCAGAAGTCGGAAATCTCTACTGAACTGTTGCAGCCTGTTTTTTTTTTCTGTCTCTTTCAGTTATGGCATTTTGAGTCTAATATTCCTATGTCTGTTGTCTTTCCTGTCCCTCTTTAACTACAACATCCTCTCATTTTGCAGGGCCTTGTAGTAGTGCTCCTGTTCGGCATGGCTACGAGAAGACACAGAGGGCCTGCGAGGAAGGGTTGAGGAGCGGGATAAGGCTTGGCCGTGGCCGTCCATCAGCAGGTCGGGGTGGGGGGGAGGGGGCAGCATGCTGGAGTGGGACGGGTGAGAGGGCATAGACATAGAGGAGGAAGGGGGAGGGGGAGGAGGCAATGGAGATGAAGATGGGTGAGGAGGTGGAGGCATCTGGTTCGATAAGGGGTGAGGAGGTGGGGGCATTTGCAAGGAGGAGGGGTGAGGAGGTGGGGGCATTTGGCAAGAGGATGGGTGAGGGGATGGGGGCAAATGAGGGGAACTAGAATGAGGAAGAGGCGGTGGAGGCATGGGGGTAGAGCTTGAGTGTGGAGGTAACTGGGAAGGGGATGACTGAGGAGGGGGTGGTGGTGGAAGAGGGGAGGATGACAGCTGAGGTGGAGGAGGCAGAGGGGAGGAGGCAGTTGGAAGGGGAGGTGGAGGCAACTCTGCCCCCACATCTGCGCTCCCGCTCGTGGCGGAAGAGCCAAGCGAGTCTGTTTTCACTGGCAGCGTCCGGTAATCCCGGTAGTGGCAAACATTGTCCTGCCGCTGCAGCGAGACGCGATGCTTGTCGCCTGACGGCTCGGCAGTTATCATGTTACCACTGATGGTGTTCCTCCACTCCCACGGCTTGCCGTTGCTGGCCGACACACGCACCACCGGGTGGTGGGGGGCGTGAGCGTCAATGGTGACGATGCTCCCGCTACCCGCGACGCTCCCCGGGTTGCTTCCAGTGCAGCTGTCTCGATCAGACGGAATGCGGTAGTAAGGGGACTCAGAGCAGTTGGAGCCACCACCTGAGGAGGAGCCTCCTTCTGATGTCTTAGTTGATGAAGCGGTTCCTCCGTGACCCTGCTGCTTCGACATGGCTATGACCTGCAGGGAAGAGCAGGAGTTAAGTAACTATAAAAGATGATTGCAACATGTTCAAAGTTTTTTTTTTGTTTCCACTATAATCACATTTGAATTGTGATTGATGATTCTGTCATTGTCTAAATGAGAGAATCATCAAGGGAAGGATGATTATTTCCTCTAGTGTTTGGCTTTGATTGCTGGCTAAATAAATGATAGTTTGTACAACATTTGACAGTTTTTAAACCCCCCTCCATTAAGTTAAAACAATAAAGTTTCTTCTAAAAGCATCACAACATCCCACAGGTTGTATACGGTAGATAAACAGACACATATTGGTAAAATAAAAAAGTATGTTGCTGATTAACCCCTAGAACCCTACGGACCCACCGGCGGGTCCAGCTGCTACGTGACCTCGTAATTTTAACAAACCCCCAGTATTGATGTAAAAAACACATTTGGCACAGTTTGGTGACATTTTTGGATAAATGTGCCAAAATGGCCTCTC